GGATTTAATTGATTAAAGTAAAATCAACCACAGGTGGATTTGTCCCCAAATAAATATCTCACAACTTTAGCGAATCCTTTTTCCTGTGACTCTCATGTTTGATCCACTATTGCAGTACAAACACTGAGTCGTCATCCACTGACGAAGAAAGTAATGCACGTCGAGGTAAGTACTTATTGCTGAAAATTTATCATGAACTCCGCCTGCTCTACTATGATATTTTTACCCACGCATTAGAAGGAAGAAACGATAAATTAAAAGGAGCAACCCGAGCACAAAGTAAACTAACGTTTGAATCAAGAATGTCCCTATCAAAGGGTTGTGTCACGCTAGGAGATAAAAAAAGGTTCGAGTCAATCGAGATTGCAGAAATCGATGCGGATTTTAGTGACGAGAACAATAAAGAAGCGGAAACTGATGAGGATTTATATGAGGTGGAAAAAATTTTAAAACATAATTACGATGAAACCAAGGTAAATGTTGTATGTCAACGTTCTCAAATTTCAAGCCATTCTACCAACTTTATCCCTTCTCGTGTATATATATATATACATTAGCATTGTTTCGAGTATTATATTAAATGGAAAGGGTGGGACCCCGTTTATAACAGTTGGGTCGACGAGAGAGATCTGTAAGTTTTTTTTGAAACTGCAACGATAACTAGCATGTAGACTTTTTTGTAGACCGGAATTAAGTAGTATCTGGCATAATCCAATCCTCACTTATTTTATTTTCGCGTGTGTTAGTAATGCCCGACAGTTACTTGATGAATATTGGCGTTGCAACAGCCGTTCGAGAGCGTCCCAAAGAGGTACACCCTCGAGAAATGATGTTCAACGAGATGGAAGAATTAGTAGGTTGACGTCCCCGTCTCCCCGACAAAAATACGAGCGAAAGAGAGCAAGCGAATCGTCACGGTCTTCAAGTGTTCAGCCATCATCGTCAAAACGAAGACGACAATCATCGTCACCAGGAAAGAATCGCTCAAGATCTAGACAAAGAACAATGATCCCGAAAAGACCGTTTCCTACTTGCGAAGATTCGGATTCGGATTCGGATTCTTACGTTGTCATTCCTGAGGAGGAAGACGAAGACTCACTACCCCCGTGCCTAAATGAAGATCTAGAAAGTCCATGTATGTGTATGACTTCCGAGGACTGGGAGAGGGACGTGATAGACATTTGGAGGATCGACTGTGTAAATAAGAGACTAATGATATTTCTTGAGTGGTAAGATCAAGCTCCTAAAAATTAGGTGATTATTCCGTTTCACCATTGAATTTACGAATTAGGAAATCGGGTCATGTCACACCCCACTCACTCCGTATTGTTGAAGAAAAGCTTCCAGTAAAAGTAAGCTTCAAAAAAGGATTTTTTTTTTTTTTCTATCTCGATGGTGAGCTTTTTTAAAACCTTTTTTCGTTTAATATCTAGTTAGCCAAATACTATAAATCCATATTAAAATTCAAATTCGTTGGTAATAAATACCGTGATTGCACTGAAGAAGATTTAAATTATATTCCGAACGGCATTATGTAAAACCTTGCATAGTAATAAATTCCATGTATTCCCTCACGGATCAAGTAAAAAAAGCTGACTGAGGTTTTATTACCAAGCAATGTCACATGCAGACTAATTAAATCCGGGTCATTTAACTGGCATGTTCTTTGTTTGTTATAAGTAAAAATTACAGTAAAAAAAAAATGATTATATTTAATTAGATTGTTTATATAAATCAAATGATTTTTCAATGCAATCATATAATAATTTTTTTTAAAAACAAAATTTGCTCAATTTATTGATTTATACTGTATATATATATATTTTAAGGGTTAAACGAAGCCAATTTATTACTCATTAAGGCCACAGTGAACAACTGTAGTGTATTTTATACATGATGCGATATCCTGTACATAACTTGACTAACTGATGTTATTCTCTTAATGGTGAACCTATTACATTTTAAAGTATATAAATCTGTTTTTGCAATGACTCTATTCCTAGATCCACCATTAATACCTACATGGCTTGTTGCCAGAGAAAGCCCTACTACCCAACTACCTACATCTGTACCCCTTTCCAGCTTCAGGCTATTGGGTCAAGATACAGGACCCCTTTTTTGTATCTCATCCCGCTCAGTATTCTTTTTACAATACCTATTATAGTATGCCTACAGAGTACCTGCATGGAGTCTTCGATATCATCTCGTCCTACCGAAACTTCCTTTTTACATGACTTATTACAACCTGCCTATGGGGAGATCACGTGGAGTCTTGAACAGATCTCAATTGGTAAAGACCCTCCTCTAACTAATGTGCCTGAGCTTTATTAATACCCTAGTTTTTACAGCTAGCAGATCTTCAACCTATCTGCAGGGGCTTGCAGAACTTGCCATAAATGGCAAGGTGGCTTCAGCACTAAAACTGGCTGAAGCATCTTGTAATCTTTGGTTATCCTGTAATCGGATGGGATCTTGACCTTAAGTGGTGGTGATTATCATCATGAGTCGGATGGAATCTTCCTGTATCACCTAGGCTTTAGGTGATACTACCTTGCAATGGTATTGAACTCGGAAACAGTACATGGTGACCTGGGAGCACTACCACTGTGCTATTGATCCACAGGTCTTAATTTTTATATCTTATATATAAAAAAACCTTTCTATATTAACATTTATTAAAGATTATATATTTTTAAATTGAAATTTTTATTTACTATTAAGAATTTAAGTTTTTTTTTTAAAAAATTTTTTTAATTAATCCACAGTCAGGTCAATATGGTTTGTCTATTTTATTGTAAATATATTTTGATATTTACATATTCTATGATTTTTATATATTGACTTGCTTATCTACAAAGTTTAACTTCTCTATATGTAACTTAGAAGATAATATTTCACTTCCTTTGTGACTTGGATTATCCTCTAGCCACTCAAATTATTGTATACAACTCATTACTATAGATCTTCCAAAGTTTTAATTGTAATTAAAAATCAAATCATTTAAAATCTTTGAATATTCAACTACTTATTAGATTTATTATATTGTTTTGTGACTTTATTTGTTCTAAATCTTTTTTTTCTTCTGTTACATTTCTGAAAAGAAGAATAGAGAAGTGGTTGGCTTCCTTAGAAACTTGATCTATTTTTCTAGTTACATCAGTTGATACTCTAAATCTTTTGAGTTTACTGATAATTCCTTAATTTTGTTACTATTCAATAGTGATGCTATAGTGCTTGTTCTAGACTTTCTTCTTGAAGATCTTTCTTATTTTTTTATAATATTTATCAATAGCCTCTTGTATTGTTGTCATTGAAATTTTGAAAACTTTAAGATACTCTTTCAGAATCTTGATCTTATCTCTATATATAAAGCTATAGATTGTATTATATAAGCTTTTATCCTATTATTTGATATCTTGGATCTATTTTTTTATTACTCTTTTAACTTTTATCTAATTTTTATTTGATAGGTCTTTTGTTTTTCTGATATACTGAAAAATTTTACTTTGAGATTTGTTTCATATAATTGATCTTTCATTCTAAGTCTTTGGATATTCAAAAAGATATTTCAAGATTTTCTTTTGTGACTTGTCATTGAGCATATTATATTTGGATATAAATCTGATTTTATTTTTCTGTAGTTTTTATTTGCTTAGAAATAATATTATACATATGATGATTTTATATAGAGCCAACTCTTTCTGCTGAACCTCTGACTATATACAAAAAAGATGTTCACAAGAAGTTTCAATACTTCTATACTAATAGAGTCTTATTACTTTATTTAAATCAACTCAAAGAGTTCACTCAGAACTCCCTCAACTCCCCCCATCAATTGTTTATAATATCCTTTAAACAAACTGAACTCTTGTGACCTGCAAAGTTCAGTTTCCACCTTTACTACCAACGGCAAGAAAGTTCTTAAAAGAAAAAGGATCAATAGTGAAGTACCTCTCACCTCTTAGCTATAGTGGAGATAATAAAGGTTATGAACCAGCCAAAGGACTCACTTTTCCACCCTTTGACTGGTGTTGTGGCCTCTTAGAGCTACCTTTTTCACGACTTTTTGGGGAATTTTGCCTACCTCAGCTTGACCCTGAAATTTCAAGTAGCACGAATCTCACAAACTCTGATTGGCTGACACAAAACACGTTGGACAAGATTGATAAACAAGCTCCCATTGGTCACTTCACGTGTCTGAATGCATTTTCTCAACTCCATAAGAACCTGGGCTCCATCATAAGTCATATGGTCTAGTGCGAGTGGATACAGGACAAGCCTCTGATACATTATTGGATACAAGAAAGAGATCGTCCAATTACGGCAAAGGTCACAAAATGCTCAATTGTTTCCTTTTAAAAATCAGAGTCACCTATTCCTGATTGTATATCAGATAGGTTCCTGCTTCTATTGCTTGGAAAAGTTCAACCAGAAAAAATGAAGAAAATGATTAGGAATACTCAGTAGTAAAGCTAGTGCACATAGTACATCAAGAAGTTTTCATCCTATCTCCAAAAAATCTCAAACTGGAAGACTGAAAGGTTAACACCACTACATCAATCGAAACTCGAGTCTGAAAATGTCAACAGTAACGTGCGAGCCAGCCGGATAATCTGGGAGATCCTTGACAATCGCTAATACCAATAGTCATCGGTAGGGTATACCAATCGCAGGGCTAGGTGCAGTCCTTCTATAAGGAATTAAATCTGAAATACATTGCACAAATGAGTAAATATACCTATATTTAAATAAGAATAGGTTTAATTGATGATATACTGGGAGACTTTCAAGTCATTTATATGGATACCAATATATCACCTGGGCCTTCTTGGTTACTCACTCCCTGCAAGTCTTAAAACTGTAAAGTCTTCCTCCTCATCCCTACCTTATTTCCATAAAGACTTAGGAGAAGCTTCTCCAGTTCTTTATCAAAAGAGGAATTTAAAACAAGATGAATATATGCTGAGAAACATCACAGCTACCTCATCATAATAGCACATGACCGGTCCTTTCTTTTTATTCTTTCTTTTTGTTTTTAATAACATTCGCAAGCTCAGTAAGATGTGGGTTTCTTTGTAAAAAGAGAGCAATAAGTCTCAAAGTAGTGTTAGTTTATCAAATTCTTTATTTACTCCTAAATATATACCCCTATACATGTGCATTGTGCAATTGTATAAAATGTAATTTGAAACTTAATAAAGATTAGGCATGAGCCCGTTTAAAAAAAAAAATGATAATTTTATATACTGTATAATAAATATATTATATACTATATATACTAACTAGTCTGTTAAGGAAAACTATATAATACTCTTTTAATTTTTCCTAAAATAATTTTATAAAGTAATCTAGTTATCAGACCATTATATTTGCTCTAACCTATTTTCAGATTTGAGATTTCAGCATGATTTGTGGATTCCTATTTCTATTAAGATTTCCTGATAATAAGTTGCAATAACTGGTTATACTTTAAGTATAATGTTTACTTTCTTCAGAACTTCATCTTTTCTAACTTGCAGTAAGATTGTTAAGATGCCTGGCATCAATCCAGTTTCATTTCAATTGATCATGAGATTAGCCCCATTCACTTCCATCTTATTATGATACTGATAAGATATCAATTATCTTACAACACCTGTAAACTGGCTTGATCTAATAAAGATCAGTTATAGTTGATACTATGTAATAGTAGATTCTTCTATTTCAGTTATCAGTAAGATAACCAGGTCTATACCCAATGATATTTACTCTCATCTAATGAAGTATTGAATTTATTGTGATGCAATATTTTTATTTAACCCTCATATAGTATTGAACTTTGGACCTTATGATTGTGACCTGGAAACATTACTACTGTGCTATAAACTCATAAGTCTTAAGTTTTTTTTAAATATTGAAAAGTCATAATTTTATTAATTAATTAAAATAAAATAGTAATAAAAATTTTTTTTTTCCCTAAACTATATAACTTTTATAAAATATTAATCAACTCTTTCTGCTAATCAATTTTACTACTAAATCCAAAGTAATGTTCATTAGAAGTTTTATATTTTTGTATTAATAAAGTTGCTATACTATTATCAAATATACTTTGCAAACACATTACAAAGTACTTTTCACCCAATTTTATCTTTTCTTCATCCCTCTGGGTGGCTTAAGTATTAGTTTTAAGTCAAAAGTGAATAAGGTAGAACCTGAACTCCTAATAGCAAGAAAGAATACTTAGGATGAAG